ACACCCCAAATGAAATGTAATGTAATTTAAATTAATAAATATATTTTTTATTTTTTATTAATTTAGAGTAAAAATTAAAGGAGGATGAAATTGAAAATAATTTTGGAAAAAATAGGTAAAAATTTAGATTCTGTGAGTATTTTTGAAAGAAAAATCAGAAATCAGATGTCAAAATACAATTTAAGAAAGTTCTGCCATGTGGGATGCGCGGTCAGCAGCTCCGATGAATAAGGACGCACTGCGTGGCAGCGGACGCTGACGTGGTGCCACATGGGCGATCCGCGTGCCCGCGATCGAATAGCCTAGATTCATTCCTACGCGCACGGACGGTCCAGATGCGTTCCCTCCCCAAACGCGATCGGATGACCAGATTTGAACGCGATCGGACGACCCAGATTAGATCGCGATGGATGACACAGATTGGATCGCGATGAACGGTCCAGATTCACTCCCTATTTAATCACGATTGGACGGTTTAGATCAAATGCGATGGACGGCCTAGATTAAAAGCGGACGGATGTAAATAACCTCCATCTACACCAAACCTTAACCCTACCCGCCAGGCCCCCTTGTCGGAGAAGAAGACCCGGCCCCCGGGAAGGAGACCGCCGTCACCCGTCGCCACACTGGAGCCCTTTCCTCCGCTAAAAAAGGTAAAAAAATTTCTTTTTGCTCGAAATTTAATTTTAAACACACTCATGATCAAATCAGAGTAAAAAAACCAGCTAATTGCTGAAAAATATGAGCAAAGCTGGGCGGTGCCGCCACGAAAAATTTCACAAAACGCCTCCGATAAGGCCCTTCACAATTCTCGTTCTGCGTGATTTTTCCACCGTTGTAATCACCGTTTCCTTCTCTACAGGTTGACTGGAGCAAAACACTCAACCGCAACATCAGCCGAAGGAGTCTCCATACCGGAGAGCCTTGCCGTCGGTGAGTTTCAATTTTTTATATTTTTGGGGCCAACCGATGCCTTTTAACGTGTTTTCTCGCAGGGATCAATGCAGAATCGGCAGAATTTGGTCGAAAACAATCGAACCGAGGCAGACCGCCGCTGCGGGCGGCGGCACTGTTGCCAAAGCACGGCGGAGCCGCCGTACCGAAATTTTAAAATTGGCCAAGTATGCCCTGGGACTGATTTTGGATTTGTTTGGGATATTTGTAGGTACTATTAACGCATTTTAATTCCCGAAGAAAAATTCATGGAATCTGGGAATCGCTCATAGGCGTAGTCGAACAGCTTAGCTTTTCGGGCATCTAATCGAGTAAGGATCCCTCACTCTATTCCCTATCATAGAACTAAAGTCTAAATAAATAATAATACGATATTTTTTGTGAATTTAGAAAATATGCATAATTAATTATGGATTGCTAATGGAGCCAGAACCAGAAATTCTATGCTATTTTTTTGTTGATTATTTTACAGTTTAAATGTATAATAGTACCTCATTAATTGATTTTATGGCTTTGAATGCATGTATGATTTATTCTATGTGTTTATTGCTGAATCGAAAAACTAAAGGTTAAACGATAAAAATTGTGTGATGAAATGAATAGATGAAACGACAGCCTTACTGAATATTCTATGAGATAGTGGACGGACCGGGTACATAGGGAACCCTACCGTGAACGTTGTCTCATACCATACAGGGTATGGAGACTTGATAATTTGGCACTCATACCGGACGAGGTATTGAGGTTTGATAAATTAGCGCTCATATCGGACAGGGTATAGAAACGACCCATTATTTGAAAATGTTAAATAAAAATGTTCACGTGTAGCGGGGACATCCCTATGAACCCCCATAGATACCAGCATGCTGGTAAAAAGAGTGATAGTTATTGTAGATTTATTTATGATGAACATAGATTTATAATGTGTGATATGATTGCTGATTATACATGGAACCATGATCTGTATAATATTATTGTCTGTATAGATTGTTTTTATGAATCTCACTACGGTAAGTGAACGGTAAATAATTTTTATGATCGATAAATGAATTTGTTAATTTAGTACTCCATTAATATTTTTTTGATTTTATATCAATCTTTACTTCTGTGTCGGTGATATAGTGTGATATCCTTACTGAACTAGTGTAACTCATCCCTTATTTAACCATTTCAGATCAAGAGAACTAGGTTCCAGAGCCCGATCCGCAAGAAGATTGCGAGTAAATGCTAGTTTTTTTTTATTTTCCGTTCATTTCCTTATTTCTTATATTTCTTTCAAGAAAGTGAATTCTGTAACACTTGGTACTTTAAGTCATTGTGTAAGAAATGTAAACCTAGAACTCTTATTACGCTTCTGTACTTAATTTATAACTTATTTCCTTTGATATTTCTGGGGTCGTTACAGTATACGTAGCCCGTATTTTTTCTTTTTGTAATCTAACCTTTGTTTTCAAATTTTTCTTTTAAATATACCCCTTCAATTTAAAATTTAGTTTTGACTTTTGAAAATTGTTTTAAAAACCTTTAAAATATATATATTAAAAATATTAATAATAAAAATTAAAATTAAAATTTGTATATTATTATTATTTAAAAAATAATTAAAATTCATCCTTTTAAACCAAATTCTCCAAGTCGAGGTATTACAAAGTGTATTTTTATTATTATTAATTTAGTTAATTAGTTAAAATAATTTTTAAATTTTTTTGACAAACTTAAATATTATATAATTATTTTAATTTTTTTGTTAGTAAATAAAAAATAAATATTTAAAATAAATAAAAAATCTGTCTAAAATTAAATTATAATAAAAATATTAAAATTAAATTATAACAAGTGTCAAGCTTGTTATAACATATATATATATATATATATATATTTAACGTATAGTTAAATCACATCTGTCCATGAAAAACTATTAGACATAAAATTGAATTAAAATTAATTTTTTAATTCAAATCTATTATAGTTATAATACAATCTCATTTTTATAACAATAAATTTAAATTTAATGCAAATTCAATCTAAATTTTGAGACTATTACACAAATTTGAGCTTATTCAAATACTATTACTTAAATAATAAAACATATATAGCCTAGAAAAAAATGCTTATAATTAATCTTATAAGCCCAAATTTATTGTAACATTTTCCTAAACAGAAAGTTATGGTACATAATCTTAATGAACCTTCAACTTCCACTTACAAGAAAGAAAATAAAAGCTACTTTCCCTGCAAGAAAAAGAAAATCTTACTTCATTAACCTCCATCTTTCACTTATAAAGAAATCCACAGATCTGCAGCATCTTCTTAATCCTTCGGTAAAAACTTATCAGTCAAGCGAAAATAGAAATGTTGCTCCCTATGATGGCAAAGTTTCACCATAAATACCCAGATGAAAATTTGTTACTTCCTCGTGCTCCGATTAAAGTTGTTCGATGCTGGTCCAAATCTCGAACGCAGGTTGTCGTATGTGCGAGAAACTATTAATAGTCTTGGATCGTCTCAGTATTTCACGGTCCTGCATTTTCCAACAACAAATC